TTATTATTATTATTGCTTGATGACAATGATTGGATGGAGGCAGAGGCTGTGGTCATTCAACAACATTAATTTTTTTATACTTTAAAATACCCGCTTCTCATGGACCCGCAACCCTCTTCGCAAAGTTGACGCTTTTGCGTTAAAAAAACAACGCAAAAATTGCGCACCTGCAAAAAAAAAAATTTCGAAACAAAGCAAGGTTTATTTTTCATCACGGCTTCATTAAATATATTGATTTACGTTCTTGTGCATCGGAATGAAATAACTCTTCCCCTTTCTAGTAACAGTAACACAAGGAACCAGAGGCTCTTTGTAGGACACTTCAATCACAGACCTGTCTGACAAATTCTGCAAAGTCACTGTGGAATCCGTGAATGATTTGATCTTGAAGTATTTTGCAGGAGTACAAGAAGTATCAGCCACAACATCTCTCTCTTTCTTCAATACGAAATGACCACACACACATTCCGAAGGTTTGAGTTCACTTAAACCAAATATATCGCATAACTGCGCCATATCAAAAAACATAATAGAATACCTTGCAGAATTTGATGAAATGAACGGCTTGGTCAATGTGAAGTTTAGATTTTCCCCAACAAAGGCTGTATTATGTGCCAATGGACCATATAGGCTTGCATTTCGCACCATATCACTAGCTACATGGAAGTTCATTGTAGCCTTTGCAATGCCCACCATCTCTTGATAATCCTCCAAAATACCTCTTAATTCCTCATTAATTGAATTCAAATCAGCTATATTAATGGCATCTGTTAACTTGTCAATTACAACAACCATTCTCTTAATAATTTTATACTTCAACTCAATCATACTGAAATTCTTAACATCCTGAAGTAGATCTAGATAATAGTGAATAATCATATATATCTCCATTGCCTTAAGGTGTACTAAATTTTTGGAAACTGATCTCGGGTGTCTATGTAAGAACGAAGGAAATTTTTGCTTGAGATATTCCTTGTCGAACTCGTCCCAATATTGAAGTGGAATCATCTCCATCATGTCACGCATAATTCTTTCATACAAGTTATGCATTGAATCATAGGAGCATATTGTAGTGGGAGTTGGTTTCCAACTCTGGTCTAATATTGGAGAATATCTACGAACACCCCATGACAACTCTTTTCCCGAAACATTATTCCAAAAATGTCGATCTCTCAAACCAAAAACAATTCGTTGATTGCTAGAAATGTCTCTCCTAAGTGGATATCTAACTTGAGTAGTTCCTCCTGATAACTGAACAGGTTCCCCTCGAATCTTGCATAAATGGCAAAAATAATACCCTGATTTTTGAAATAAGAGAATTTTAGACCTTGCAGGTAAGTCAGCAATTACTCTTTCTAATCTCAATGATATTTGTTTAAATTGATCATTGAACACATTCAAATCATCCATCATGATTTTCAAACACAAATTGATTTCTTCTTGAGATGGTTTGTTAGGAAATAGTAGCCACAAAAAGTTATTCTTGCGCTTCTTTCTTACATTTGATTTCATCTCATTGAATGTGATAGAGAATTCGTAAAAGCTTTGCTGACTAGATTTAAACGGAGCAACACCGTCACCAAATAACGTCATAGTTTTTCCTCCTGCATCTACGAATTTTTTGTGAATGTTTTTGTAGATGTCTCCGTCACAGCGATCTTGGATAAGTTGGGGATCACGATTATCAAGTTTAAATTGATCCAAAAATTGTGGCTCTCTGAATATCCTTTCCTCGAATTGGAATTTTAATGGGCGTAAAAAGCAATGAGTTTTGATATCTTTCCATAATTTCCCACATTTAGGACAGGATTTTTGGTCTGGATTTTTTTGATACGTCTGACAATCAGTGCACATTGGAATTTTCTTTGTCTTTGAAGACAAAAGGAAATACTTATAGAACCCTGTTAATGTCAGCTTATCTGAAAGTTCTTGTTTATCACTCTCATGAATGAGTTGAATGGCTTCTCGAATTAGATTCAAAACCATTTTGAGACAATTTTCAGAGAGAGAACTTGTTACTGCAAACTTGAGAATTTTTTTCATCAACGTATCAACATTTACATTAACATTATCATTCACAACGCTTGAAAATGAATGGGAAGAGAGAACTTCTTCATCGTCCGTTCAAATCTCAAAGTTGGAGATTTAGTTGAAATTATTGAAAAGGGAGAGAATTGTTACTACAAGATTGGTAAAGGAAGAGTTCAATCATTCACTTCAACTAATTGCAGTTTAAATGACATTATATTTCACGTTCCATCCTTCGTTCAAGATCAAAAGAAGACGATTTTTGATATTTCATGCCTTTCATTAATTGAAGATCGAACCAATCATGCTCCTATGATTCAAAATGCTTTTTCTACGGTTCAGCAAGGATGTACTCCCGTCTCCTTATTTTCCATGAATTATGACACTGAAGTCGATGATGACAAGATTGATGACAATGAAGTTCTCTCTATAACTCCACCGGAAATTTCGGATTCAAGAACAAACTCAAATTCAAATGTTGAAGAGAGTGATTCTCCTTTGCAAAATGAGCCCAAGTCTACAGAACCTACTGATCATAAGAATTTCGCTAGTGATATCTTTTTCCTTCAGCAAGTCAAAGACCTCAGAGAGAAAAACGAGGCCTTATCATTGGAAAACAAACAGCTAAAAGAATTAATCATCAAATTGAATAAGCCATTGAACGCATTAATTGCTCTTCAATTACAATACCCGAATGTTCTTCCAAGCAAAACAATTTCTGTCACATATGGTGCTATTATTGATGAATTTAAGTCGAACTTTAAAACACAACGCATCAAAGAAAGAGCACGAATCCAAAACCAAGAGCAAGCAGTCGTTGTAAAATCTTGCATTACATAAAAAATTTGTTTTATAAAAAAATTCTCAAAAGCTTGTAGTAGCCTCCACGTTCAACAATCACATTCATTCATCAACAGATGCCGCTTGTTCATCTTATACGCTGCTAGAGCTTGCTTTGCGTAAGTGTACGTGTTTCATTGATACAGGTATGATCTCCAAATCATCCAAAGATATCGACACGTTTCATGTTTGCTCGAAATGGAGGACTGTCTTTGCTATCATTTGCCTTTTGTCTCTTATAAAGGACAAAGCTGGCTTTTATTGATAAAGTCTTCTACGGTAAGCTCTTTTTCACGAAGTTGTTGTGAATTTCTTGAATCTGATCAACGATAGATGCTACAAAGGACCTTTAGCATCATCAAACATTTTGGCAAGACGAATGAATGTTATGTTGATGATAGGAGAAGATATTGTTGAACAAACAGATAGGGTTTGTAGTTATTGCTTGATTTGAAAGTAATTCTGTTCGTGCTGTTTGAAAAGGTAATTCGTTTCATTTACGGCCATTGTTATTGTTGTGGAGGATGATTAAACTTGTTCACCTGTTAAACCGGTAAGTATATCCAACCATGTACTAATATCAACAACATTATTCGTTGTTTATTTATTTCCTTCTAGAGTAACATGATCGGTAGGTTGTTAGATTTGCTGAGCAGATTTTTGTTTATTCAAAATGTTTTAGTTGCTTCTTCTTTATTAGTTGTTGTTTTGAATATCCATCATTACACTCTGTACATAGAATGCGTTGGTAGAGATTGGTTGAGGATATTGAAGCAAGTTCTAACATCCAGATAATGAAGGGATATCTTGAGGTAGGGATTGAATTTAATGATAATCAATTGAGGATAGGGATGATAAGACTTCAAGTATATTTGATCCACAGTTGGTTGTTTGATTATTCGTACCCTCTTGTCCCACTATGCATTGAGAGTTAAAGGATTGTAGTTGCAACAATAACCAAACAACCGCTTTCTTAACATTTGTCAATGGTAGAACTGAAAAAGATGTTATATTATCGAGTTATGGAATTTCAAGCTGAATTTGCTTGGTATTATGAAGGATTGTTTGTATTATGGATTGATTAACAGAGCTTTCAATGATTTAGAGTTTGATGTTTTTACATTTTAAGCCTGGAATGTATTTAGATCATCGAGGCATTTGTTTGTCATGAATAGGGATTGGTTTGATTGATGTTAAAATATGACTTGTTGTGAATAATAATGTCAGTGCAATAGAGATATCAAAACAAATGACAAATTGATATATCATTTATATGAATTTGAAGTGTGTTTTGATTGAACTATTGATCACTATGATTATTATGCCGCAACTGAAAAATATTTTAACTGAATGCAAAACCAACATCATGATAAACAAATGAAAAGATGATATGAAATACAAGTATTGAATTAGATGATATTTCAACCCGATAGCTTAAATTATTCAAAAGTAAGTAATGTCAATCCAATTCATCTTTCATTTACCATTTATATTCATTAAATTGACTACTTTAGCTTTGTTGTTGGATATAAATTAGAGAATTTGGATGAATGAATGTGAGGAAAATGGATAAACATACAAGATTTGAAGATTTGGAGTGGTTTGAAGAGATTGAATTAGTGAACGATTGGTTGAACGAGAATGAAAGAGAAATTTGAGAAATAAGGAGCGTTAATTTTTCGTCAATTATTTTTATTATGAAACATCATAATAATTGACGTTAATTTGACGCGTGAATAATGAAATCGTTAATGTGGGAAATTAACGCTTTTTATTGACGTTTTTTCGTCAATAATTAACGCTTTTCAAGCGAGAATAAAATTTTTTTCGTTAACTTTTTGATTGTAATTTTTGACGAAAAAACGTTAAAAATTAACGTCAACCGCGAGTAGCGGGAAAAAAAGTTGTACACCAGTGCTGGCGGGTTTTGTCTTTCAAAAAAAA